GCTGTCCCAGCACGCTGACTCCATCCTTCACATAAACCTGGCTGTCATGGCGGTAGGAGGGAAGGGAAACTGGGAGAGGACCATGGACCGGTGCTGTGGGAAAAGGGGCTTCTGTGCTTTACATAAGTCATGTTCCAAGTGTACACTTTTGAATAAGAGGCAAGCAGTCTAGCCCCCAGCTCCCAGGCACTGCGGGGCATCAAGAACATCCTCTCAGATTACTCCAAGCCTGTCCCTGGCTTTATTTATATTACTCCGGTCCTAAAGGGTTATGATTCCTGAGAAAGGAAGGTGGTTACCAGAAACATCTACAGGAAGAGGAGCAAAATACTAGTAAAATGGCTCCCCCGGGGGTAAACCGACCTTCCAAAAACTAATCAATTGATGGAATAATCACCTCATTTTTAAAATAACTGAGGAATGCAATTTATTCACTTCTGCTTCAGATAGAAGTGTTTACAAAGAAAGGCTTGGGCTCCCCAAATACCTTGAGAATAGAGGAAATTTTCCGTTGATTTCCCTGATTTCCTCCTTCAGCAAATGACCCACCTTCTTCATTTTAGTTTTGTCTTGTACGATTCAGACAGACAGAATCATTACGTACACAACTCAAATAGGCTCCTTCAGGAGCTGGTGACTTATGTTTCACCATCAGCGTAACTTTAAAGCAGCCTGATGGACCACATGGTGACCCCAAGAATTAGCATTTGTCTAATCCTCTCAGATGTCCTGAGGGTCTCTCATATGTGTCATTTCACATGATGCCCGTGACAGTCCAGCCAAGGAGATCCCTTGATTCCCATTTCAAAGATGAGATCAGAGAATAAAGCGACTTGGCCAAGCTCATAGTGCAATGATCAGAGATGAAGGACTTCAACCCAGACCTGGCTGATGCCAAGTCCAGTGCCTTGTCAGGACACACACTTCTCCTCTGCCCGGGATGCTTGGGAGGGACGTTCTTGAACCAGAGAGCTGACTGGCATGATGGTTTCTAAGGTCCCTTCCCATTCTAACAGTCTGTGCTTCTATCAATAAAATGAGGGGGTTGGATTAAACCAGAGGTTTTAGAAACTTCTTGTAGCAGAAAAGATCCCTTCCTCTCAAAGGAAATCTCTAGAATGCCGAAACATAACATAGGTCATCCCAGCTCCCCTCTGGTTGAAAAAGAAATGACTTCCACCCAAATGCCCATCAGGTGACAAATGGATAATAAAATGTGGTATGTCCATAGAATGGAATATTAGTTGGCCATTAAAAAGGAACAAAATATTGATACATGCTACCCCATGGGTGAACCTCAAAAACATGGTAAGTGAAAGAAGACAGACACAAAAAACTCCATTTACATGAAGAATCCAGGATATGGAAATCCAGAGACAGAAAGCAGGCTGGTGGAGGCGGGGATGGGGAATGATTGCTTAATGGATACAGGGCTTCCTTTTGGGGTAACAAAACGTTTTGGAGCTAGAAAGCGGTGATGGTTGCACAACATTATGAATGTACTAGATGCCACTTTTATATATGGCTAATTTTATATTGTGTGAATTTCACCTCCATATGTGTGTGTGGAGATAGATGACGGTTCTAGAATCCTCCCCTTTTAGCCTCCCCCTTCCCCTGTCCCTGCAGTGCCTCCAAAGAACCCTAGTATGTAAATCAATAGAGTCAGCAGATATTACAAAAAGTCATCAGAGTTCAAAACAGCTCTCATATGACAGCTATTTTATTCCTTCAGGGGCCAAGTGTATTTTCTCTTAACCCAACAAATAAATTTGCCTGGGCCGGTGACATCATGCTACTTGGAAACAAAACTTTCCACTGGCAGCCAGCTCCACTGTCAAGTCTAGTCCACAGTGATCTAACAGCTTTGGTTTTAGGATATGTCATCGGTTTTAAACTCGAAAGTCTGCTTTAAGTATACCAGAAAAGATCATGGCAACCAAGCGTTACCTTTTGTTTGTTCAGATTCTAGTAGATAATTTTATTGTTGAGCAGTAAACCAAGCGTTATTAAGTCCCTACTATATAGTAGAAGTCTTTCACATTGTTTCATTTAAATGTCATTATTTCCATTTTATAGAAAAGGATACTGGGGCTCAGAATAGCTCTGTACGTCCGCAAGGTCAGGATTTGAATCTCAGTCTCTTCAGCTCAAGAGAAAGTTCTATCAACTACGGGAAGATGGGTCTCAGCAGGGTTGCGAGTTCCTCTCACCATGGAAGGCATGAGGACTGCTTTCAGTCCCACCAAAGAACTGACCCCAGCCTACCTGCCCTTCCGGGGTGTGTGAAGATGCATGACACACGGACACACGTGTCTGGTGCCCTTCCAAGGCCCCCCTCTGCACCTTCCCCGAGCAGTTTAGAGATATGAGGAGTTCAGGACACCTATCGACCTTTTTTCTTTAGTCTGTGCAGGAAAAGTGAAAGCCCACTTCAACAGTCTTGCTGACAAAGCGTACTCAGGAAAGAACTGATGAAGGACACATCAGACCCTCTTTTGCTAAGGAGTTGAAGGGGAAGGCTAGGATACCATTTGTTTATAACTCTTTACGTTGGATCCTATTCAAACACAAGAAACTCCAGCTTCTAAAGTTAACTGCCAGCCTAGAGTCCATGTGACATCACTTCCTGCAGTTGGAGTGACCTGGACCCAGACTGGAACACACAATTCAGCACTACAACACTGTGCGTTATCTGTGGGCACAAATATGGTACTTTTCCAAGTTATACTGAAACATTTCTACATAAAAGAGTTGAGAATAATTTCAGCCTTTTTGTATGGTAAAGCTATTAAAATGATAATAATAATTCTTTACATAAAAATTCACTTTACAGATTACAAAATTCTTTCATGGACAATCATTGCTGGTTTTTTTTTTAAAAAAATGGTATAATTAAGGAAAAATATCAGTAAATGACATTTAGCTATTAACATACACCCTCCTACTGTAGGTAAGGAAAGGATGAGGTGGAAGCGTTTTTCTATTAAAATTGAAGTCAGGTTCTTGAAGCTCTAACTGTTCCTGATTACCAATAAAAAAACAAGCAAAGTCGATGCTTTTTAAATTAAAAATGAGGTGCTGCTACTTATGACTTGATAAGTCGTACAATGCCTTTCCCATCCTTCCCAATGGTCCTGGGTCCATTTAAATTGCTTTTAAGTTTTAGATCTGCAGCTCATGTGGATCATACCGAATGCCAGGTGTTGGTGAAGAAAAACAACTAGAACCAGATAAAGAAAGTTAATCATGTGTTGAGGCCACCTAATGTGAAAAATACAGTAGTACCCTTACCTCTCTTCCTGGTTTTGGTGGCAGAGGTTAAGAAAGCTCAGGCCACACGATGGCCTTCGAACTTGTTCCCACCAAAGGAATCAGAAGGCTAATGTGTCAAGGTCATCTTTAAAAGTATGCCCCTGGGCCACACTGGCGTGGAAAGCCACCAGAATCTCCCCGCAGTGCAATACGGTCTCTCAAGACCTAACCTCTACTGGGGAGATCAATGACCATTAGAGAGTAGATTTTTGAGAAATGAGTTATATCACAATGAATCTGACCAAACTGCAATTAGTCCACTGCTTTTCCTTAGGGATGGCTAAAAACTGCAGCTGCATGCGTGTATGCGTAGACCCATTACCCAGCTGCCATGGGCTGCTCTGAGGATTCTGCAGACCTGACATGCCACCACTCTGAAGCCCTAGTCGGCGGAGGCAGGATCGGCCCACGTGAATGACAGGTGAGCGTTCTCAGCGAGTCTTGCTGGCAATGGATCTGTGCCTCACACAGCAAAGAAGGCGCTGGAAGAGAACTGGGCCGAGCGGGCACCATCCAGCCTGACTCAGAATATGCCAAATGCTCCTTCCGAGTGACGTTTCCTGTAGGGCAGTGGCTCTCAACCTTGGCCGCATGATAGAATCACCTAGGGAACCTCAACTATTTCTGTGGCCAGGCCTCCAGCCCAGGCTAATTAAAAGCATCTCTAGATGTGTGGGTGCTTGCACTGGTATTTATGAAAGCTCTCCAGATGGTTCTAATGTGCGGCCAAGGGGAGAAGCGCTACTGCAGGGTGATTCGAACAATATGTGGGCTTGAGCCCAGCTGGTGAGGGGCTGCAGTAGAGGAACCTGCAAAACACCACTTGCTTAGGGAAGTCAGCGTTCCTCACGTTCGCGAACCATAGCTGACAAGTGCTTTACTTGTCTGGGAGCGTTTGAGTCAATCTGATATGTCGGGGGTACCAGGAGCGCTGTTGGGATTGCTCGTCTTTGATTTTTCTGCCTAAAAGAGGCACAATGATATTCACTCAACACGTACTTTGTGAAAGCCAGGAATTTGGTAACAAAACAAAGCAAACAAAGTACCCAAGTGAAATGTCATTCATTTCAGGGGTGATTCCATGGAGGGAGGGGCAGGGCACATACTCCCATCGATATCCCAGTGTAACATCCACTGGGTGGGTAGGATGGAGAAGAATTATAACTGTTGTAAATATTACAGAACTGCCACAAGTTCAATAATTGGTTCTGCAGGTTTTGAAACAAAAAGCTTATACTGCAAGAATGCAAACATCATGAAGAAAATTAAAAGGAAGCGATCCTTACCACGTCCAAGTTACCTGTGGCCCTCTCCTCCGGCATTTTGTACTCTCTCCCTGTGCTTGAGGATTTCACAGAGAAGCACCAGGTGGGCAATGGTGAGTGAGGGGAGATGCTATCACTGGGGGAGAGTGGGTTTTTAGAGAAGACTTTCCAGACTCAGATAACTGTCGGCTAGAAATTCATCCACTGAACCCCAAGTGCTGGATTCATGTTGTAGGTCTCCATCACCTGACTTCGAGTCACTATATCTGGAGGCTGATACTCATAGATGAAACTATGATTTATTAGACTGCTTAAGGTATAAACCTCACTCCCAATGTTAACATGTTTAAGAACTTAACTTACCTGCTTAGGACACAGGAAGCAGAGTTGATAGAAATAAATGATATAAAAAATACTTACTGGCTCTCTCTTTTCTTCTTAAATGGGTCCATGAGACGCAGTGTGTCTCTGATGACGGCCACTTTCACTTCTTCATCGACAAGGCTGGGGACATTCTCAAACACCCCTGGAGAGAGCTTGAAGGGTAAGGATTCCATGTTACAGTGGAGAGAGTGATTCAGCACCAACTGACCACCAGCACAAGCCCCAGTGGTTGTACTGTTAGAATTCTCTAAAGGCTCCCTTCAGTCTACCTGAAAAATGTCAGTTTCCTTTCACAAATCAACAAAATACATGAAGGGGAAAAACAGCGCTATGTGTTTCTCATTATCAAAATGATACGTGCTCGTTGTAGAAAAACTGGAAAGACGGCTGAGAGGAAGAAAATTAAAAGAATCCATATAGTCCCCACAAAGCCCAGTATTAATCGTTGGTGTATTTCTTTCCAGTCTTTTTTATACATTCTTAAGTGGCGGGGGGAACGGGGTGGGGGGAGAAAAAGATAACCACTGTTAAATGTACTATTTATCTTAGTGATTCAAGCATGTCGACATGGCTAAATCATATTCGTAGAATTTCAATTAGTTCATCTCCTGAGGCTAACTAATTAGTTCATGTCAAAACTGATGGAAAGGCTCAGCTGCTTCTACATTTGCAGATCGTAAGAAGTGGAGAATGGCATGCTGGGAAGTTACCATAGGTCGGGTGGAGCTTATATTAATAGATGATGTTCAGAGCTCAACAAAATTGAAATCATGTAGGCCTGAACAGAACTTTGCTGGGCAAATCTGAGAATGTCGAATCTCATTTAGCCAAGGGAGCAACAGGAGAGTGGGAACATTCGGTTGGATGGTAATATATTCAATGAGATACTCAAAATACTCACTTCTTGCTCGTGTTCGATTCTCATGCTGGGGTTTGCATTTACTTCAAGTAGTATAGGCTTCAGATTTTTCATGAGAAGAATGTCAAAGCCTAAAATCTGGGGCAGTATAAACATAATTCAGAATTACTCCCTTTAGCTGCAGTGTCTTTGCAGGAATCGAGTATGGTATTAGGGGAATCAAGGTGAAAATTAATTCCAACCCCACCCCCAGCCTGGGCCTTGACCCTGGCTTCTCTCGTCCACAGGCCCTCTTCCTCTGGATGTACTTGTCAGGCCAAATGGACAGCAGAAAATTTTATAGGGGCCTTGGTAATGGGATGAGGTCCCATGGTTCACTTCAGCACCATCGGTGTCGTCTGAAGTGCGGCGGTAAGATGATGACCTCTTTCTTCTTTAACAGGTTTTTTATTATGTTAAGGATCAGTAGTGGTCCATCAATTTCTCCCTCTCCTTCTGTTCTCCTCTATTAAGTTGCTTCTTAGCTAGATCTCTACAAAACCCAAGGCTATCTTTCTTAACCTCGGGTATATATCAGCATCACTTAAGGACCCCTTTCAAAACCACTGCCCGCCCCCAGCCCACACCTATGAGTCAGAAACTTCCAGAGGGGAACGCAGGCAAATGTATTTTAAATAACAAATCCCCTGGGTAATTCTGATAGACCCTCCTAAGAGGAAGGGAATATTTATTAGGCGCCCACTACGCACCAGTTATGATAAAATGCACCGATTATTCAGAATCACGTTTAATCCTCATGACTGCGTAGTTGAAGGAGGGATCGTGCTCTCCATTTCACAGAACCAGAAACTGAGTCTCGGAGAGGCCAGCGGATTTCCTGAGACTGCCTCTCTCGTAAATCACAGAGCTGGACTTCACACCCAAGCAGAACCGGCTACACAGTTTGTGGGACCCGGTGCAAGATGAAAATGCAGGGTCTGTTGTTCAAAAAGTATGAACCATTTCACGACGGTGAAACAGAGCATTAAACCAAGCGTGGAGGCCTTTGGAGTGTGGGACGCTGAGTGCACAGCCCACACGCCCATGCGGCCAGCCTGCACCCAAGGCTAAGTCCAGCATCACTGGCCAGCTGCCTGCTGCTGCCTCAGGGGAGGCTTTGTCTTCTGGCCTCTTTCAGTTCCTCACAGGCCCCACGATCAGGGTAAGCCACCCTGGGCATCTCACTGCCTCTGCTTGAAACGACCCTTTATCGAGATAACATCTCCTCGCCCTTGAGACTGCAGGTACTAATTGGATTCAGACGGACTCTAAGGACACCAGATTCTTGGGAGGACTCTCATGATGTCTCTAGGAGGTGATAAGGTAGAAAGCTCCCAAAGTTCCCAAAACTAATGTGGAGAATAAAGGAAAGAAAAAAGATACAGCTGCATCTCCTCCTCTGTGGACTCAAGAAGAAAAGATGAGGGAAAATCCATTTACTTGTCTATACAGAATATGCACTAGTTAAATGATAATTATTAAACTGTAGCTTCATCCTTATTAACGAAATCAGAGCCCGGATGACCATTTCGGGCGGGGGGGGCGTAATTCAAGATGAGGTTAGTCTTCAGTAAAGGGTAATAAGGATGAAAAGTTGGGAAAAGTCATCCTCACTCTATTTTTCTTTCCCTGGTCATAAGAAGAAAGGAATGGAAATGCAGTAGAAAATGTTACATGTATTATAGATCTGCTTAATAATATATGACAAGTGGATATGAGTGATGAGGCCTTTAAGAGACTCTGGTGACATCATCAGTCTAACTTCAGACCTGGCCTGAGACACGTGATGCTGATGAGGCTACAGAGAACGGAGGGCTGCAGTTCATCATCCTGAGTCATAGACGCTTACTTTCCGCTACATTAGAAGTTTGGACTTGTACTTTCTCAGCCTGGGGGACTCTTCTCAGCTCAGTGCACAGTGGTTTTATGCATTCACAGCTATAGGGAAGCTGGGGAAGGGGAGTGGCAAAACCTTATCAGCCACAGGGACCTGCACACAGCAGTAGCATCGTATTTTCCAGAACCTAAACTTTGGTGCAGGTAGTTGAACGTGTTGGGTCTTGTACAGGAATGCTCTGGAGCCAGATTTGGGCTTCAATCCCAGCTTGGTCTCTCACACTAGCTGGACAGTTCTAAGCCCCAGTTTCCTCATCTATAAAATGGGAATAGGAATAGTACTTACCTTAGTTCATTCATTCGTAAAATACTGACTGCCTCCTATGTCCCAGAAACTATTCTAGCTTCTGGAAATAAAGGAGTGGACTGGACATAGTCCCTGCCCTTATGGAGCTTACACTCTAGTCGGGGAGACAGGAGCAAATAAATTTAATGTGATGTAAAATGTCTTGCACAGTACCTGACGCATAGTAAGTATTTAATGAAAGTCATCTTTATATTTTTTCACAAGTTCAAGGAAATGTGGAGCACCAATGGATCTCAAGAAGCAGAATCACAGAACCAGGAGGAGGGGTGCTATTATCATAAGATCCCAGAATGTCAGAGCTGGTGGAAAATCAGGAATTTATTTGGTTCAGAGTTTTTCAAAATGAGGTCCTTTTTTGGGAAGCACTGGGGAGGCCGGATCATACCAACTTTTACCTTTTTTTACATCCTGGGGTTCCCAGGGGAAAAACATATATATATATTTTAAAAACTACTAAGTTAGTCTAGCACCCAATTTGCAGACTAGAAACCTGCAGCTTAGAAATGGGAAAACCTCTCTCCAGTTTGGTGGCAGAGTAGGAAATGTCAAATGGAGAAAGAGAACTTTTCGATTATGTGATACTCTCCACCCCTCCAAGTAATTCAGTCAGCAATTATGTGTTGCTACTGGAGGGGTGCCCTGGGGATTTAAAGATATCTGTCCTTCATCCCTTACCTCTAGAGGCTCCCAAAGCAAGTTGGGGAGAAAAGGCCCTGAGCCATGAATTGTAAACTCGTGCAAAGGCTCCAAACTACATTTCAATGAGAGGGGATTCCCTCCTGAGCCCCAGAACTACATATCCATCTGCACCCAGAGTATTCCCAGCTGGGAGGTCCCAGACTCCTCAAATTCAGCATATCCAAACTCACTATCTGTGGTCAGCAGCTTCTAAGATGGTCCCAATGATACCATCTCCTGGTATTCATACCCTTGTGTAATCCCCTCTCTTTGAGTGTGGGCTGCACTTAGTGACTTGTTTCTAACAAACAAAATAGGCCAGAAATGATGGCATATCACTTCCAGTATTAGGTTATGAAAAGACTGTGCCTTGCATCTTGGGATGCATTCTCTTATTCTCTCATTTGCTCACTCTGAGGGAAGCCAGCTGCCATGTTGTAACCTGTCCTATGGAGAGGCTGAGATGGCAAGGAACTGATGTCCCAGCCAACAGCCACGTGAGTGAGCTGGGGAGGGGATCTTTCTCCGGTAGCCTTGACATGACTGCAGTCTGGACAACATCATAACGGTAGCCTGTGAGGGACTTTGTGCCAGCAGCAGTCAGCCAACATTTCTCCTTCCTCCTTTACACCTAGCTGCTCACCAACTCTGTACATTCTACCTTCTAAAGAGATTTCGAGATCTGGCCCGTCCCTTGCTGCTCCTAGTCTAGATCAAGCCTGCACCACCTTTCACCTGGACTACTTTAATACCTTCCCCATTAGTTTCCCTGCTCTCAAACTCGCCCCTCTAATTGACCTGGCACAAGGGGATGTCAGAGTAATTTTTATAAAGGCAAATAAAATATTAGCACTCATCTGCCTAAAAATCCCTGCTTACAGAAGGAAGCCCAAGTTCCAGAACATGTCCTGCAAATTCCTCCATGACCAGAGTCTGTCTCAGACTCTAGCTTTATTCTCTCACACTCACTGCTGCACATCTTGGGCCCTAATTGTGCTAAACTATTGGTAGCTCTAGGATGCTTTACTGCTCTCTTTGTGCTCTTCTACTTAAAAGACAACTTTATTTATCAAATATTTACTGAGCACCTACCAAACCCTAGGTACTATTCTAGGCACTGGGGATCAAACAGCAAATAAGACAAGGTATGTTTTAACTCCTGCCCTCTTAGAGCTTACATTCTAGGAGAGAGACCACAAGCAAGTGAATAATTAAAACAACGTAAGAACATAGAGTGTGATACAGTGGATGGAGGGGAGAGCCTGGTGGTCAGGGAAGGCCTTTCTAAGAAGGTGACATTTGTCATCCCATTTTCTTCCGGTTTGCACAGTTTCTGATGAGAACTTGTTGGTTATTCTTTGTTCCTCTAAACATAATTTGTCTCTCTAGCTGCTTTTAAGATTTTCTTATCATCACTGATTTGATTATGATAAGCCTTGGTGTGTGTGTGCACATGTTTGTGTGTGTGGCCATTTCTTCAAATAGTCTCCTGTATCTTCCTTGTCTCTTCTGCTCAGGGAACTCCAATTACACATATGTTAGACCATCGATATTGTACCATAGGTAACTCAGGGTCTGTTCATTTATTTTTCCTGTCACTTTGCTCTCTCTGTTTCATTTTGAATAAATTCTATTGCTATGTCTTCAAGTTCCCTGATCATTTCTTCTACAGAATCTAATCTGCTATTAATCCTGTCCAGTGAAATTTTCATTACAGATATTTTCTTCCATTTGGTTCCTAGAAGTTCCATTTTGTTCTTTTTTAATAGCTCCATTTCTCTCTACATTAAGCTCATATTTTCCTTTAAATTTTTGTACATAGTTGTAATAGCTGTTTTAACATCTTTTTCCTACTAGTTTCATTATTTCTAATATTTATGGGTCTGTTTCTATTGATTTTCTCTTTAGGTATGGGTTGCCTTTTCCTGCCTTGTGGAATATCTAGTGGGTTTTTATTGGAAGCTGGACATTTAATGCTCAGTGTCTGGATTTTGCCTTCTTTTAAAAAGTGCTAGGTTTTTAGACAGTCAATTATTTGCAGATTATTTTGATACCTTCAAGGCCTATTATTCAAGCTTTACTAGGTTGGGCCTAGAGTAACCTTCATTCCAGGGAAGCTTCAGTCCATTAAGGCAGAACTTCTCTGGAGTCTCCATTGAATGTGTCCAGTAACCACCAAGCACTCTCCACCCTGACTTTGGAGCTTGAACACCTCCCT